TAGAAACAACAATAAGTTCATATGTTTCCATGCATTGATGCAAAGTAAGCTGGCAGTATTGCTGGAATGGATCACTGCAGACCCAATTGCTGGAGGAATTCAGAGGAAATGTGATCCTCCTAATACAGGGTAGGTACTTTTAAAGAACTAGCTAAACATCATCAATCATTTTTCAGAGGAGATCCGGGAAATTACAGGCCAGTCAGTCTGACGTCAATACCGGGTAAATTGATGGAAACTGTTATTAAGGAAAGAATTAGTAGGCACATTGATGAACAAAACCTATTGAGGAAGACTCAGCATGGGTTCTGTAAGGGAAGATCTTGTCTCACTAACCTGTTAGTGTTCTTTGAGGGAGTGAACAAACATATGGACAAGGGGGACCCAACAGATGTTGTTTACCTTGACTTCCAGAAAGCTTTTGATAAAGCTCCTCATCAAAGGCTCCTAAGTAAGCTCAATAGTCATGGGATAAAAGGACAAAAACTTTTGTGGATCAAAAACTGGCTAATTAATAGGAAACAGAGAGTGAGTATAAATGGGCAATTTTCTCAGTGGAGGGTGGTAAGCAGAGGGGTACCACAGGGATCAGTACTCAATAAAATGCTTGTTAACTTGTTTATTAATGATTTGGAGTTGGTAGTAAACAGTGAAGTGGCTAAATTTGCAGATGCCACAAAGTTGTTTGGGGTGGTAAGAACCAGTGAGGGTTGTGAGGCACTCCAAAGGGATCTGTCAAGGATGGGAGAGTGGGCGTCAAATTGGCAAATGGGGTTCAGTGTGGCCAAGTGCAAAGTGGTGCACATTGGAGCCAAAAATCCTAACTATAAATACACAATGATGGGGTCCGAACTGGCAGAGACTGACCAAGAGAGAGATCTTGGAGTCGTAGTTGATAACTCAATGAAAATGTCAAGACAGTGTGCAACTGCAATAAAAAAGGCCAACGCTATGCTGGGGATTATTAGAAAGGGAATTGAAAATAAACCAGCCAGTATCATCATGCCCCTGTATA